GTTTCATAAGCCACGCCTCAAGTGGCTACCGACACAGAAGCACCTTCAAGTATTGAACAATCAAAATGCCTATTTTGGCCGCATATCCGGAAAGGAAATGAGATAGCTCTACCAAACAAGTTACAATGAAAATAAATTAACGAGGGCTGTCGAGATATATACCATAAATACGATGATGGTTACCGAATTCTATAAGAAATTCTGAGTTCATAGAACAAATATTGGCTAACAACCTCATTTTCAGTGATTCGTAGGCACGCCAAATACATGACAGTAAAGATTACGCTGTTTATATAAATCAGTATTCAGCCATAAAATCCCAACAATTGTTTTGGATAAGGGAAAATAATCTCATGGGTTAACTGGGGCTAATTTCGTCTTGGGATCAGATGGGGAATTCTCAATGATCACATAATTGTTAAGTCATCCGATCGTTGAGACCACTCGGAATACGGGGTGAGTAGGGGGTGGGTCAGTGAAGCTTAAGCGCCTGCACAAATTGTTTTTGGGCACACAGAGAGGGGTTATGCAGGCGAAGTCCTACCGTTTCCATTGTGGCCAGCGTTCTACATCGAACCGGCCTTGATAGTCGACCACAGGGAACGGAATGCCTAGGTCAAATTCGCAGTGTGATTTGTTTCAGCTAGGTGTGAAACCACCGCTGCACTATTGAGTGGCCTAATCGTTCCTGTATTTCACCTTGCAGGGTGGTGTGCTCAAAACCGGAGTTCTTCTATTGTGTTCTCACTACAAATTTTCCTTGCTCTGTCTGCTAGGCAGCGCACCGAATTCCTCTTCACTTTGAGCGGTACAAAGCTGTGAAAATGAATATATTGGCCCCTCCAAGTCGCCTTCCCATATTCCTAGTGATCCCAACGATCGGTTGACCTAACGGTTATGTGATCATTGAGAATTCCACATCCGGTCCCAAGACGAAATTATCCCCAGGCAACTTATGAGGTTCCTTTTCCCAAAACAATTGTTTTTTATGGTTGAATACTGATTTATATATAAGCAGCGCAATGTTTATTGTGATGTATTTGGCATGACTACGAATCACTCTTTGTTCTATTTGAAATGTGCTTTGTGGGACCGTTTAGACAAATTCTGAGTTCAATAATTGGATTGTTTTCAAAAGTGCACTTTTTCTGAGTATGGACTCTGAACTGAATAATCTAAATTATATAGTCCTAATAAAACACTAACACTATATAGCCAGTGGATCAGGGTAAGATATAACACTCACAAGTGGCCATTTGCGAACTGGTCTCGAACAATCTTATCATCGCATAAAGCTAGCCGAATACCGGAAGGTGCGCAAAAGTGATTATCAAAGCCACCAGAAAATGTAATCTCTATATTAGGAATGACCATGGCGGTGTTCCCATCGAGAAATTGTAGTGCCCCTATCACTGATGCACAACTTCCGGTTTTCGAAGAACCATAGGTGAACAGAATACAGGACGGATTATTACGGACTTCTTAGGCAGCAGCAATTTGGTGTGTTATTAACACTATAACATTCACAAGGTGCATCTGTTCAGAAGATACTTTAAAGGATGAACTTGAACTATACCTTTTAAACTTCAAGTGAATCCAACCCATCGCACTCCATTAGAAACCCCGACAAGATGATTGGTGTTTTGG